GATATTAGACATACGGGAAAACCATCTACATTCTTACACTCATATACACGCGAATATACATATATGAAGCAGCACAGATACATGCACATATCTATGCATAAGTATTTTCTAAGATTAATTCCTAACAAGAGCAAATTTAATATATTCATTTAAATCGTACTTCAAACATCAATAACCATGGCCACCATTATTTAACTGGAAACGGTCTATTGCCGATCAGTTCTGTTATTTGGAAGAGGAAAAACACAAACAAGCATGTATTACACTGACAGATGCTTTGTTCATAATCTCCCTTTCATTTGGGAAAGAATATACGAAAACACTACATCTCTGGAAGTTATATTATGGCCTTTAAATTTGCAAGCATGACCTCAGCTCCACATATTACATAGAGAAGAATCGGTTCCAAACATTAAACATAAACATCCCATTAAGCTTAGTAAAAATATGACAGAACAAATAATTATCAATGTAAATAAAATAATGTGCAGGAAAATTTTTTGAACTGCAAATGGAATGAAAATGCACCAATCACTTAATTAGGATTCTAGTTATACTAACACAAAAAAATTAGCAGTATGAGGACTAATCATTTATTTTGATCACGCATATTTACCGAGTAGTACTATCAAATGACATTCGAACTACAAAATGCTTTGATTAGGGGAAGCGGATGAAAAACTGACCAGAGAGAAACCTGGCAAGGATGCCAAGAGAAGTCTTCTTTGCGCTTCGCTTCGAGTTCGAAGACGTCGTTTGCGGCACTGTCGTTGCAACCTCCATTTGCCATGTTCGGAGTGTGCAGCGAACTATCGAGTAACCAAACAATTCTAAGGCGTTTGCGAATTTTGTGGGAAGCTTATCGAGGGTTTAAGCAGCAGTAGCAGTGTACCCTCTCGCTCTCTCTCCTCTCCAGTTCAACAACTGACGGACCTGATAATGCGCGGACGGAGGTGCACATTACGCACCCGTTACTGAGGGAATGTCTGGCTAAAGTTTGTAATTTTTACTCATGAGAAACCCGAGTTGTATAAAAATTAAATTTTTAGTATATTTTGATAAAAGTCAGTAAATATGTAATTTAAAAAGTATAAAATATATAACTAAAAATAAGTTTGACAATAAAAAGTGCTTACTTGAGACTAGGTTTGCAGGTTAATGGTTTTGGGGTATGTTTGTGAGGATAGGATTGGGACTTACCTTTTGATCATTGATGAGGTGGATTATAATCTTGTTTAATTTAATTAAAAAAATTGATACAAATTTAAATCAAAGTTAAACATTTTAATATCATTCACAAATTTTTTAACTTATCAACGATGCATTCAGCCAACTTTTATAAAAAAAAATCTACTAAAATTGTGATTTTTTACCAACCAAACACGGACTAAATTGTTATACAAATCACCTTTTATTTAACCCATGCTTACACCATTTTTTTGCACCAAATTGTGCAATGTTCGTTCTGCCCTTATTTTTCATTTTTCAAAGATAATAGTTAAGTGTATTTATGTCATTTTCGTTCTATGATGATGATGATAATAATATTAATAGTAATAAAAAATTACACTATTAATTATCTTATTAAAGTTTATTATTTTTAATAATATAATCAATAATAATTAACGTAGTTGTTAATTTAACGTAAAATTGAATTTGTAAAGTTTACGTTTAAAGTTTAATTTAACGTAAAGTTTATATTATTAAAATTTATTATTTTTGTAAATTTAACGTAATTGTTTATCATAAATGAATAATATAATCAATTACTTTTATCATTTTAACATAATATATAAACACGTGAATAATTTAGTAATCAATTTATTTGTTAATTTAACAAAGTTATGATTTAATAATTTATATAGTTATAAAATAAATAAATAATTTTTTTTAAATAAATACATTTAGAAAAATCGAAAAAATGAATAAAATAATAAAGCACTGTTCATTTGGTGTAAGATCTGGTGTAATGGTTGGAGAAAATTTTTGTTTTGGTACAAAATGATGCAAATTTTGATGCAGCGCTGGAGATGACCTTAGTACGTGAGATGTACTTCTATCATATTTTTGAAATTTCTTGTAAACCACATCCCATGGAGTGCAAGCAAGAAGACTATTTAACTGAGCAAGAGGTTCTTTCTTTTTTTCTGTATATTACAATCTCGAGCTCATCGTCATGGTTTCAAGTTGTACATAAATCATGCAATCGACTAGCTAATCATCATAATTATAAAGATGAAATACTTATTGGTGAAATCACATGCTTGATAAGATTTTTGATAGAATTACAAATTTTATTCAACTTATCGAAGTTGTTTAGTACCGGGTCAGTCTTCTGAATGATCGGAATATTGGTTCTATTTCCACAATGGCCTTTATTATTGGAAATACTATTTTACCTTTACTTTTATTATTTGCAAGATGTATCCTGTATTTTTTCTAAGTCTTTCAATATTTCTTCTCCTTTCGGGATTCTTTAATCAAGACTTATGTTTATATTTTTCAATCTTTCAAACAACTCTAAATATTCTCTGTATCTTGATAATTTTTTAAAGATTCTAGGCTGATCTTTCTTAGTTATGTATCCTAGAACTATTCATTCTGAAACTTCTTCTTGTATATTTTTATGTTTAGTTATAATATCTTTTACCTTTTTTATTTCTCTACCAGTTCTTATAGAATCAAGTCTTATATTATGCTTACAATAATAATCTATATCTCTATATATTTCTTCAAGTTTTTCATTGCCAACAGAAAACATGTCTTCAGACTTTTCAGCTAATTTAAGTAAAAGCGAAATATCTTTCTCATCTAAATATAATCTGGAATCATTATCATTAGAAGTGGATGTGGATGTGGATGCTTGTGAATTGTTCATCAAAATTAATCAAAGTATAATCATGTAAAAGAGAGTAAATAACTTACAGTAATCAAATAGAAGTAAATAGGCTTTCCCTCCAGTATATTCTTATAGATGCTTTGCATGTACTTAATCAATCTTCTGAATCAAGT